CAATGTTTCACATCAGTAAGTAACACAAAGTCTCAAACACAGTTCAGATGGAAAGGGGAGGCATACTCGTTTAGACATGACTTCCAAGAGAGTAGCAGTGCCAATCAAGTTATTGTTATGACCGAGAAGCGGTTTGGCTACACTCTCGCTGCCCATGACAGAAAAACGCACACGATCGTGTGCGCGTGTCTCGGAAACCAAAGATCGGAAATTTTTCTCCAAAACTAAATGTGTATATATATATATATATATATATATTATATATATATATATATATATATAACCATTGTTGACGATTACGAAATGGATCAATGTAGATGAGAAGGAGGATGAGATGGAAATTGGATATCCTACATATATTGCTTACCTCGAGAATGTTTCTCGCCTCTCCCATATTGTAGCCTCGAACGGAGAGAGAGAGATCCCTTTTCAGAGAGAGAGAGAGAGAGTGAGTGTGTTTGCAGGAAAAAGAAAGAACGCAGCTGAAACTAGAAAAAAAAGGAGGGAATTTTCATTAAAACAAAATAAAAAATAATATTTCAAATATGGCAAAAAAGAGTCGAACCCACGGGGTAACTCTTTGTTTGGCAATCACGTTTGTTATTAGTAAAAAAGAATATACCATCCCAATTACTTGTATAGTCACAACGTTGACACGCACACACACACAAAAAAAAACATAATGTAGTTACAAATTACTAATTAATATATGTTTTATCATATATCCATATTAACAAAATAATTATATGAACAACAACACTGTTATGACTTTCTTCCGCCATGGAAAATGATTTAGCAATCTCACTCTCCGCAAACTGAGAAGGAAAATCCTTGGAAGCAGCAGCAGCACGTGACCAGCTTCATGATCAAAGCGATCATTGTTGTTCTTCGTACAACACCTTCTCCTTAGGTGATATGGCCAATTGCTCTAGTGAATCAGGATTAACTATAACCTCCTCTCCTCTGCTGCACAAACGTAACGTTAGAAGAACACACACATTTGTTAGATGATAGGTCAATTAGCAATCCTCTTACAGGATACAACACTTAGCGGAGACAGGTTCATATCTCAAGAAATTTTAAAAGCCTTGCTCCTTAGCATAGAATGTTGCTTCCTCTTCAGATGGTACTGTATTGCCAATGCAATAGGGAACAGTGAGGTTCATGTTCATCGTCAGATGTATAGGTTTGTTTCTCGGTGTACGAGGAGTTGCAGGCGTTTGCTGCAAAAGCATATGCCTCACCTATCCAGAGAATGTTCAGCCCACAAGCGTGATTCCACATCTCACAGCATATTCATAATATACAATCTCGGGTCACGGAATTATCAACCATGACACCAATACAGCCACCGCAAACCTGGCAATAGTTCATGAACCATGCTCAAGACAGATGTTAGATTAGAAGAGAGCAGCACAGAACCCAAACATGTTGGAAACTAAGCTGAGCTCTGTACTTCCTCCACTGTAACACAACTTGTCAAACATATATACAATCTCTTGAGATCCAGAATATCCTCCACACTCACCAGATAGATAGAGTATCCTCTAACCTTGCAGCTCCGCCTCAATCCGACTTTTTGCAAATTTATACTTGGAAGTGCCAAGACTTGCATTTAAACTTGTATCCCCAGGTTCTTTCTTCCGTCTCTGCGGGTGTGTAACACTTTTTCGTCACCAGCATTTTCTGATGGACGATGAGTGAATACCTCCACGTCATTGGTATGTAAAATGTGGAATTGCTCTCTTAGATAGATGCCCAAAGGAAGCGCTCAATCCAAAACAAGAGTTACAGCAAGTGTTCGGTTGGTGAGTTATTTGATTCTTGACAAATATTTTACAATGGGGAACCAGTTTGACCTGGTGCCGTGCAATTTGCAAAGCGAGTCAGCAACATTCTATTTTTGAACAGAGAAACAATAATTGGCTTCCCCCACAAAACCTCCCCCATCGATGCAATGAAACGACTATCAAAGGCGACTGACGACATTTTAGTAATAATGTTTCTTTTACAGAATAAATTAATTTATTTAAATTAATTGATACATTTTAGTAATAAAATCTATTACACAAAAATACTAAAGTTTTACTAAAAATTTACTAAAAATTACTTAATTTTTCTCTTAAAAATATTGTTATGTTTTGTAAACATTTTTTTAATCAAAAACAAAGTATATACATAGAAGATAATTAAAACAAAGATATATACATATAAAATATTCTAAAACCTCTTAAACCAATTTTTAATATTTAAAATATTTGATAAAAATATTTGAATCACATTAATACTTTCTTCAGAGATACTCGATAGGAAATGGCGCAAGTGAAAGTTTACATTAATACTTTATTCGGAGATATCTCCGGGCAAGTCCGATGGATTTCTTATAGAAGAAGCCATCTTGGACGAACCAAAACTGGTGGTCCGAGCCATTTTGGATAGACCCATTTACGAGAGTATTGTAAGGAAAGACGGAGTCAACCTTAGTAAGATATCTGCTACCCTACGGCACTGTCATACATCCGGATCCAGCAAGTAAGGGATGCATTGTAACCATGGGCTACCAGTTCAAGACGGACCAGCTCAAGGATATTGATGCGGCCAAGACCATGATCACTAGTACATTGTCCAGCCTCGCCAATGTTGGAGCAAGATTGTCCGAGAAATAAAGGAACCTAAGTTACAGAACATGAATGAGTTACAAGTTTAAGTCAGGACTTTGTTAGTCAAATGATCCCTAGTCTAATTGATAATTGGTTTGTATGATATTATAAGAGATTTGATTTTCATTGATACATGGTTTATGTAGATGATAAATGGTTAAATAAATAGCTTGTGAGCTTGTACATTATTGTTATATTTTACCAAAAAATTGATATGCTAATATTTTATATAACAATTAACATGGTATTGTAACTTTCAATATTCCAACACAATACACATATATTTGGACATCTAAAAAGTGAAATAGACATAAATATATTTAGATCACTTTATGCAAACTATCAAAGTACATGGTGTATTTTTTGTCGTTAGTGTCTAATACTATTTATATATATACATCTTTTGATATGTGATCCCTAACATGTTAGATGATATATACTAATATGCCTTAGAGGTTACACAATACACTAATTATAACTTGACCACAAATTACTGTTTAGTTAACATAATGTTTACCCGTTAAATTTTAAAGTTACACGTTTTGTAAGATAGGTAATCTTTGGCAACAACAAAGTTAACCGTTAATATATATCGGATATGTATGTAACACAATGTATTAGTTGTTATAGAATATCTTATCGATAACGTAATCTCGTTTTGATCTTCACTGTTTTATCCAACAATCCATCGTCTGGCACGTCGTCCATCTCTGCAGTCTGACACACGCCTTGTACTATCGCTGAATATGTTTTCGTTAAAATTGGAAGCATTTTCGTCCGCGCAATATCAAAATATTACTCAATTTTGGTTATTCAAATAGCTATGGGCCTTTGCTCAATTTGGATCTTTTTGGGTATTGCACCAATTGACTCTTAATTTTAATGAATCCTTAATGATATTTTGGTGAAAAAAAATTATACAAATTTTTGAATCACATAAATAATACCTTATATTACCAATCTAATACATGCATAAAATATCTTATCTATTAATTTAGAATTATATTTTATACTTAATATTTAGCTACCATATTATATTTCACTTTATAGAACTATTTTAATTTCTTTTTTTAATAATCTAATTTACTAAATCTAATATATTTATTAAAAAAAACTTTCAGTTACAAGATATGCCACTGATTTTTACTTTTAATTTTAGTTATTCATTAATGATATTTTGGAAAATATAATTAGCCAAGTTTTGGGTCATATAAATAACTACAAATACCGTATGACCAATCTAATACATGCATAAATATATCATATTTAAATCACATCTAATTATACTACAATATATAATATTAACACATGAAATTATTCATCCATTTATTTGGTAACTAATATTATCCATATTTTGTAAATAATATAATTCTAATTTTATGCAAATAATAATTTCCATTAAATTTGAATATTATTTTTTGTTCTTAGTAATATTAAAAATACACAATTTGAATATATATATATATATATATATATATATATATATATGAAAATTTTAAAAAATATTTATTGTGTCATTTTTACATAATACTAGTATGCTAATTTTGAACCTTCAAAAATATTTTAAAACTTATCATAAAATCAAAACTTTTCATCTAAAATAAACAGTAATAACTTTCATAAATTATTAAAAACGAAAAAGAAACTAATATTTTCATATCAATAAATTTTACTTTGTCTATTACCGTTATTTAATATTTTTAAATAAATTAATAAAAAATTCATCAAACATATGATATCACAAATTTAAGTCTTATTATGCATTATTTAATCAAAAAAATCAAAAATCTTATCTTTTTTTTTTGGTTTTAAGCAAATCATCTGATATCGGATCATAGGCTAATAGCGGATTTTCTATTTTTACAATATTTTATATAATTTTTAACTATCGATTTTTTATTAAATCTGAACCGGATTAAACAAATATCGCTGGATTATCGATTCAACCACAATCTGAGTCGGATATGAAAAAAATTCCTGAAAATTAGATATAATAGAACAATTTTTTTGAAACACTAATATACAAACTTTTAAATATTATTTTTAATAAAATTTATAAATCAATCAAATTTTATCAAAATCATAAAAATAGATCTGCGCTTTTAAAGTACGGGTCAAAATCTAATCTTCTATTAAAGATGAATACATTAAAGCAAAATACGATATTTTAAAAAATGTTATTGTTGTTCTATTTATAAAGAAAAAAAATAGAATTAGGTTGGACATGATCTAAATGACTAAAAGTTCTATGTCACTGGCTCCGATCAATATCAATTATGAATCTGTACAAAAAAGAACAAAATATGGTTTCTTCTATATACATTTACATTATTATTCGTTAAAAAAGAAAAACTTACATGGTAAAGATCTCATATTTTCAAGCTCAACAGAGCTATAAAAAGACCCCTCCCCCTCAAAAAAAAATGTTTGTTAATGTCATCTTTACTTGTCGTTTTCAAGTGTCACAATGTTAACCATCTATCTGATTTTGAACAGCTTTCACAGCTGCAACTCTAGCAGCTGTCGCAGCTTTCTTAGCCGCAGCTACAGCTCGTACTACCTGCTCATCGACCCGTCTCTGGTTCACCCCTTTTCTCGCCATCTCTCGAGCACTCTGTAATTACCAAGATAAACTGCCATTTAAATATCTCTGAATCAAAACAATGTGTTACTTCAAAAAGCTTCAGCCTTTAAACCCAAAAACGTAAGCATTTTGAAAAGTCTGATCCTTTTGGATTTGGTCTAATACTTATATATACATACCTGAACCGCTTTACGAACCGGACCAATTTCTGGAGGAAACCGGTTTACTATATTACCATCATCCCATTCACCGCATTGTGCATCTCCAGTTCTAAATCCATACGTGCCATAGCCTTGTTTACGACCTTCATGCCAAGCTCCTTCGTAATAGTGACCATTAGCGAAATGGTAAACACCAAACCCATGAATCTTGTCTCCATAATACTCTCCTGCGTACCTATCTCCATTCCTACAATAAAGAGCTCAGACATTATTAAACATAGAAATCTTTATATGATGTAACAAAAAATATTTTCTTTTAAATTACCTGAAGTGGTAAGAACCAAGTCCATGTTTGAGACCAAACTTGAATTCTCCTACATAAGAGCTTCCATCAGAACATGTCTGAACACCAAAGCCATGACTTTGACCGTTAAACCATTCACCGGAGTAAGAATCTCCGGTGTAAAACAAGTAAACACCGTACCCATGTCTAAGTCCTTGCTTGTACTGTCCTTTATACTTACTTCCTTTAGACCAAGACTCGATTCCATAGCCGTCGTATCTTCCATTGATCCAATCTCCTTCGTATCTTCCGTTTGCGTAATAGTAGTAAACTCCACTTCCATGGCTTCTTCCTCCTCTGTTTAACTCACCTTCGTAGAAATCTCCATTGCTGAAGAACTGGACGACGAACAGTGTCTTTCCTTCTTGGGTTTTGACCGGTTCTTGATTTGAATCGCCTATGTACCACTGAACCGGTTTCGGTTTGTGTTTGGTTCGGAAATTTAGCTTTTTGATTGCGATTACGGTTTGGTTGATAACCGGTATGTTTCTTGACGCGAGGAACAGAGCGACGGCGACGAAGATTAAACAGAGTAGAAGATTCTCCGACGTGAGAATCTCTCCGGTTTGAGAGGAGAAGACGAAGAAGAGTAAGAGTATGAGAGAAGCGAGTGTGAAGGTGAGACCCGGTTTGAATCGGATTAAACCGGTACGATTAATTGAACCGAGTGAATTACTCTGTTTGCTCCTCCTCTGTTTCTCCTCTTTCTCACCGGCTTCAAGATCCTGGTGAGAGATTTCGTCTAAGTCACGGAGACTGTGAATCGACGATCGAATCGTGGGAGATGATCTGAGTGACGAAGATTGAGTCCTGTTTAGCCTCGATTGGCTCATAATCTCACTCTCCGAACAATCTTCAGAGAGACTGATCACAACGTTAACCACCACTGCACCACCGTGCCGAGCATCGCAAACGGAGAAGAAAGCGAGGGATTATGTTTTCCGGTACCGGGGAAATATTCGCGGCGAAGCCAAAAGGAAGAAGAGGAAGCTGAGTTTGCTTTATAGAGAGATCGAACGAGAGACAAGGCTTTGGACCGGTTTGGTCTTATTTCAGTAGAATTAGGTTCAATACTGACCGTTAGATGAAGATCTTGACGGTCAAAACCAAAGAAGCGTAGCCGTTAGATCATGAGTAAGGGAAGAAGAAGAAGAAGTCCCGGTCTTGTCGGGAATATTAGGAGGCGGACGCTTTTTAGCTTTATTGTTTTCAAGCCGGCACGTGCCGCGCCACACCCACATCAATTATTCAGAAGAAGATTTATATTTAATAGAATTTTATAATTTACTTTTTTAATGATGAAATATCTCTACTTTTGGGAAACTTTCTATATCTATAATTTTATATAGCAGTTGAATTGGAATTCAGAAGAAGATTTATATATTTTCGTCTACATTTATTGTGAGTCTTCTTTATTTTATTTTTTCAAAATAAAGAAATACATAGACTAAAATCAGGGCCGGCTTACATGGGGACAAACGGTGCGATCGTTCCGGACCCAAACCCATGTCCCTCCGATACTAATTAAGAGGCCCAATATTTTTTATATATACATATTTTTATATAGAAAAATTTAAATATTTATAAATTTTAGTTGAATAGGGACCCTAAAATATTTTACATATACATAATTTATTTTCATAACAAATATTTTAAAGATGTTGATGTTAAATTTTTTAAATATTTAATTTTTTAATAAATATAAATAGTAAAAATAAAAAATAAAAATTTGTCCAGGGACCCAAATAAATGTTGAGCCGGCCCTGACTAAAATGAATCGTGTGTGATCAAGGATTTATATTTGGTATAGCGTCTATATTTATTGTAAGTCTTACTTTATTTTTTATTTTTTATTTTTTAAATAAAAAGGTGCATAGATTAAAATGAATCGTGTGTAAAAGATCAACGATTTATATTTGGTATAGCGTCTACATTTATTGTAAGTCTTACTTTATTTTTATTTTTTAAATAAAAAGGTACATAGTTGGTGTAGACGTATAGTTGGTGAAACTGAAAATTGTGAAGTGCAGCCACTTAATCTAACAAATCGGGCGGTCGATATGAATTACTTGATAGAGTATAAATATATGAATAAAGTGAATAAACATGAAAAATGGGTTTGTATCAAATTGTGAATGAAAACAAACATATTACCACACATCCTCGCACCGCATTAGTTGTATTTTTTATAATTATCACACTTATAATATTTTATTATTAGATTTATATATATAAAATAAAATCAGTTAGACACTGACACATATCTAAGAATTTGTTGAAATTCTGAAAATTTAATCATTCCATTGGTCCAATTTGAAAAATAGGATGAAATAATAGCAATATCATGTAATGCTCTCAGAGACTTAAAAACATTAGTCTAGTTAAATTAATACATAGTCCAACTTTTAAATCATATTCTATTAGATATTGTACTAGTTCGTAATGACTTTTCAAAAGGAAGAAAACGACTACGCTGAGCTAATGACATTGGTCAAGTATGTTCACTGGGATCTAAAAGTCCAAGTCAAAAACTCAATTAATTTAACTAGATCATAATCCCCCGACTGGGCGGGTATTTATTTTTATGGTATATATAAACATTTCAAAAATTACAATCTAATGGTTCCAATTTGACTAAGTAATAATACATTATTTAAACATTATATTTCATCACTGTATTGTGTAACAGGGGCGTCGCAAAATATTGTGACCCGTAAACATTTTATTAATAGTTTATAATTTTTTTTTTTGCTAAATTTGGTGTAAAGTTATATACATTAAAAAATTTATTCAAATTTTTAAGTTAATTTTTTAATGAAGAATTGAAAGGCTAGTATATCACTGTTGAAAATTTATAACAATAGTCAATATAAATTATATAAATAAAATATATATTATTCTTGATTTATTTTAAATACATTTAAAATATGAATACATATATGTATAAATAATTTTCAGAAATAAAATAATATCAATGATAGAAACTCGAAAACAATAATAATGATACTTTGGACCGCAGTAATCTTTAGTTTAATAAATAAACCCATTAGATTTGTAGGCCATCCTTATTTCCAATCATTAATTTTAAATACCTATTCATGTTTCCAAACACTAATTTTTTGTACTTCAGCTTTAATAGTATAGATACTTACCAAAAACCTAATTAAACTAAACAAATCAATACATAATACTTTACTCATTTAATAATAACGTCAACTTACTTTATTAGCTAGCTTTGGTGAAACAAAGTCTTATTTCAAATGGAACCACCAAAGAAGAACAACACAATAAGCATAACAATAAGGTCTTTTACAATGATTCAAAGCCTCAGACCACTCTCTTAAGCTTCAGCTTCATCCTCTCAACTGCGCCACGCAGAGTCTCCTCATCTTTACAAAACGCAAACCTAACCAAGTTCTTCCCTTCTTCCGGATTCAAATAAAACACACTCGTCGGGATCGCAACAACCCCAACTTCCTTGATAAGATACTCACAAAAAGCCACATCGTTCTCAAACCCAAACGGTGTATGATCCACCACCACAAAGTAAGTCCCACTAGATGGAAACACCTCAAACCCAACTTCCTTCAAACCCTTAACCAAAATCTCCTTCTTCTCACTGTAATCTCTCTTCAGCTCCGTGAAGTAAGACTCAGGCGCCCCGAGAGCCGCGACAGACGCGGCTTGCATCGGCGTCGAAATAGAGAACGTGAGGTAAGAATGCGCTTGACGTATCCCCCACGTTAGATGAGGCGGCGCAATGGCCCAACCGATCTTCCACCCGGTTAACGAAAAAGTCTTCCCTAGAGAGTTCATTGTGACAGTCCTCTCGAACATACCGGGAAGTGAAGCTATGCAGATATGTTCCATCTCAAAGGAAAGCTTATCATACACTTCATCAGAGAACACAATGACGTCGTTTTCGACGCATAGAGATGCGATGACTTCAAGCTCTTCTCTTGTGAACATCTTCCCCGTAGGGTTATGAGGAGTGTTCATGAGAATAGCTCTCGTCTCACTACTCACAGCAGCTCTAAGCTCATCCAAAGGGATGGCGAAGTCAGGCGGGCGTAGAGTGATGCATTTCACTTTAGCACCAGCCATGGAGAGCATCGCCTCGTAGGAATCGTAGAAAGGTGCGAAGAGGATGACTTCGTCGCCAGGGTTGATTAGACCTAAGACAGACGCAGCTATGGCTTCTGTGCAGCCGCAGGTGATGGTGACTTCTCTCTCGGGGTCAACTACGAGACCAGTGTCTTGATGAAAACGTGAAGCTACTGCGGAGTTGAGGTCGGGAGAGCCGTAGGCACGAGCGTACTGGTTTTTACCGTCTTTGATGGCTTGGATGGCGGCTTCTTTGATGAAATCTGGACCGTCGAAGTTGGGGAAGCCTTGGCCTAGGTTGATTGCTCCGTGTTTGTTGCCCAATATGCTCATTTGAGTGAATATTGTAGTCTTGAACTTCTCTAATCGTTTGGCTACCTAACGAAAACAAGGTCACAGTGTTATAGTTTGCAGATACTAAATATCTCAAAACAAAGGTCTAAACTAGCAAAAGTATAAGGCTTTGATGCATAGTAAAAGACCCATATAACAAAGTCAACGACCTGAAAAGGTCTTAAAGATGTAAACTTGGATTGATTGATGATATGGGTCTTAGTGTAAACTCTAAAAGGCAGCATATCGTAGTGTATCGTGGGACCGTTACAACAAAGTGGAAATCCAAATCGGACAAATCCAAATTTTTGAAATCATTTCGGACAAGAGGAGAAAAAGACAGAACATCAGTTCTGTTGCAAGAGCAGAGCCAAGCAAATTCATATTAAAAAAAAAAATGTATTAAGTTACAAACCTGAGAATCAAAGCTTATATTTCCATCATGAACTAAATGGAAATCCAAATCAGACAAAGTAAAAACAGACCAAAGATCAAAAAGACAGAACAGCATGTTCCTATGTTGCAAAAAGCAAAAAAACGAATTCAAACAATCAAATCTCTTTAAATTCGATCAAAAGTTTGTCTTTTTAATCGTTTGATTAATACCCAACAAGAAGAGATCAATTAAGAAACAGAGACTCCACGAAAATTGGAGAGGAAAATGATTCACCTGGACGGGTCTCTGAGTCTGTTGAGTTGACTCGTTCTGAGTCGAGATGGTGGACATGGTAGCTTTGATTCGAGAGCTGATCGAGGCAGGTGGTTTCAGGGAGATTCGTGGAGAATAAAAAGAGAAAGGGATAAGAGAGGATCTGAAGCTTAGTTGTCTGAGCATCACATTCACACCATGCTGTGTGTCCAGGTTCATTGACTTTTCATCACCACCAGATAAAAATGCGTTTGTCTCTTTTTTTAGGGTTTTTCTTGGTCGCTCCAACTTATGGAATTTTCCAAAGTCGCCCAAGTTGTAACGTTCGTGGGCTTTTTTCAAGTGATTCGTGGGCCAAGCCGCCTTGTTTATGGCATGTTATATTTGGCAACGCCCACCAAATCTGGCTTCCCCACTTACTCTTTGTGGCTAAAGATGTAGGTGACAAGTTTGACAAAGTAGTATAGCTTTTCAAGTTGAATCGCTTCGTTAACTAATTAATGTTTGGTTTTTTAATCTACTTTTCTTGTATTTAATTAAAAGAAGCTAGAGTTTGCTAATGTGTTACTGGTTGTTCTCTATCTCTAAGGAGTAACACAAATGATGTGATGTCGTTTGAAACCAATAACGTACACATTCGGCCTAAGCCTAAAAGATATTAGCACAACTGAAGAGGAAGAGGAATTTACTCCAACGACTGTCCAACACAGAAGAAGAGAAACCAGTTACTAACTTGCGAAGTTATAATGGCTAGCTATTTTTTTGCTGACAAATAAACTCTAGTTAAGGTCAGGCTTAGTGATATCAGGAAGCCAAAGCCCATTGACAAGAATTATAATTTGATATTAATATGATCCCCAAACTACTGCATGCTTCAGTTTTAGCGAACAACCCATCAAAAATAAAGTTTATATGCATCTTTTATTATGTGTATTACTATCATGTCCAAAAAAAAGTGTGTATTGAACTATATGCAATGTGAGATCATATTTTAAACTATTATTGTCTAAGCTGTGAACATTTACATTTTCAAATTTTTTTGGAACCATATATTTTTCGGATATGATAAAAAAATTAAATTGATATTCACAATGTGAAAGACTATATATATATGATCATGATAGAGATTGGCAACTACGAGCAGACGCAACATTTGGAATTGTGGATGATGAGTATCAATCATTTCGAGACAAATGTGTATCAAACAAGACTTATTACAAAAGAAAAGGGACACATATAATATATGTAGATATATATATATATATATATATATATATATATATATATATATATATATATATATATATCAAAGCATAAGTTTACAAGTAGCCATTCATGATTATGAGAATCCCTCCGACGCATAAGCCTACAAACTTGTCACGTATATACCCACCTCTTGTCTTCTTTTTGTGGGTGAAACCTACTTTAATTTGAACTAGATTTTGAACTAAAGTTATATGTTTTCATTAAGTTTTCATTATTTGATTTACATATTTAATTTCATGATAAATCAATGTGTAACTATATTTAATTATATATGAAATCAAATAATTAAAACTTAATGAAAATCATATAATTTAATTTATTTAATATGGGAATTAAAAAAAATGTAGCTATACTTTGTTATTTTTTTTAAAAAAATCATTAATAACTGTTTACGAATAAATTACAAAATGAATGTGTGAAATGAGTATAGCACATATATAGTTATCCAACATCATAAATTTAATCAAATTATCAAAACCTCATGTTAATAATAACTAAAAAAATTAAACAAAAAAATTACAAAAAAACACCAAATATCTTCACAAACAAAAAATTCAAATATGAAAATAAAATTTCTAAGAATATATTAAAACAAATAATATACCCGCCCTTTCAAGGGCGGGTCAAAATTTAGTTTATTAATTAAATACCTAAAATTAAAATGATGTATCGTCTATATAATTATAAAATTTTAAAATTATATATATACATGAATTTTTGGCCATATATATAGGAGTTTATTTGGTAGAATATTTTGTTATCAGTAAAGGAGTTATGCATATATTTCGGGAAAGTGGGTTAATTATGGGAATATACATATATATATATATATATATATATATATATATATTTCGAAATTTATTGCCATATACATGTAGGAGTTTATTTGGTTTAGGAAAGTTGTAACGTAAAATATACAAAATTTGAAGTTAATATTAGTAGGATAGATTTGGTTAGGTTTGGATAATGAGTTGTTATAATGCTGATATCAATATTTTAAAAACATGAGAACGTAAAAAATATATATAGGATTTTAATATATTTGTGTCAAAAAAAGGATTTTAATATATAAAATTTGAAATTAAGATTAATATAATAGATTTGATTAGGTTTGAAAAACGAATTGTTATATCTGTAGTGCTTTAAAATAGCACTTTATTAATTATTTTCTAAAAACAAAAAAAAATCAACCCTTAAAAAAATAGAACAATAAAACATGGATAGATATTAATGTAGAAGCCCAAAAAATTAATCCGGGCATACCAACACAAAGATGCTGTTTATATATAGTGGGTTCGATTGGTAATGACTGTAACTTTAAAGTTTTTGCTGTAGAAAAAATCTGTAGATTGAAGATTTTTTGGAAAGTATTAAAAAATTGCTTTGGATATTTGGCTCTGCAGAGCACTTATATAGCTGTAGATCATTTCAAGAGCTGTGGTTTCAAAAAAAAAAATTAAAACTTAATTGCTTTGAATTTAGAAATAAATAGGGATGTGGACATGACCTACAACAACTACCAATCACCCCCAGTATATATAGCAGTTATCATTTTTTTTTTAAATGACCTAACTATTATCAATTGGACATAATCCAAATTTAATAGTATTGATTCTTAATGATTTCCCTTTGTAACTGGGATATAATACTATATGCTGAAGTTCAAACATAGCCAAGAGTCATGTGAGAAAAAAACTGTATATTGCTTGTCAGTTAAATTTATTTACATACAATGTCTAAAGAAAAGTCTTAAATTGAAGTTTTGTGTATTCACACACTACAGAAAACTTCAATTTAATACTTTTCTTTATGCCATTGTATGTATTTTTTTTTATTTATCAAAATATGTAAATAACTTTAATTGAGAAGAATATACAGTTTTTTCTCCCCGTGAACGTTTGATTCAGTGCCGCAATGGAATTATTCAAGTTTGAACAGTGCACCACTATATCACCACTGTTAACACAAATGAAGTTAGAATAGAAGGTGACCATTTAGGTACACCTTTATAGACTACTAGGGTCGGCCCGGGCTACGCCCGGGTTTTTCATTTCCCGTTTTAGTTTTAATTATATATTTAGTGTGTTTATTTTAATATACAAATTTAGAATCAATTATAAATATATAAGTAGCTATAGACAAATATAAAATAGTTTAAAATCATTCATTGATTTTGTCTTACGCAATTCAAAAATTTTAGTATCCAATTTTTTTTTGTTATTGGAAAATATATATAAGATGAAGAGCAAAATGAATAAAAACTAATTAAATTTTAGACAAAATAATTAAATTGTATTTAATTGGTTGAATTGTAAATATGTTCTATTTCAATTAAAAATAAAAAGGGTTAGTCCGCGCATGAATTATATATCTCAATTTGTTATATATATTATTTATTTTATATTTTTGTTTATTACTTTGCTTATATGCTATTTGATATTTATAATTTATTTTATTACAATATTAATAGGTAAAGATAAGATGTCAAAAAAAGAAGGTAAAGATAATATAAATACTCATTATTTTAAGCAAAACTAAATTATATCTTTTATTCAAAGAAATTTATTAAAAAGTAAATAAAATGCAATATTTACATGTTAAATATCCTAAATATATTCATCACATGTATGTGTTTTTTGTGTGTTCCCCACATTGTTGAATATTTATAACTTAAAATTGTGATAAAAACTGGTAATAAATACATTTGTGAGTGACTTATATACACCGACAATTGTTATAACTTTTATTTTAAGAAAGTCAAAAAGTTCTGTGTTTATGAATTTTAAAGAATTCCACTAACTATTTCTACAATTTTGTTGACCTCAGATCAATTATCTTATAGGTTACTCCGTATAGTTAAATTTCATGTAGTTCTTTGTGCATGTTACTCGAACCAATACGATGGAAGTACATATATAAATAATATTGAGATTTCTCATTTCAAATTTAAGCAACCTATACCTTCGTTTAAGTAGTTAGCCTTTACAATACTATTTGATCAAGTAAAAGAAAATAACCAAAGTTATGATTCAGGTGACCTTTTAAGTAGATAACTACTATCAGTCATGCCTACGGAAATTCTACAACTCTCTACTTTCTATCCATTTTCCAACTTCCATGTCTCTGTTAGACATTTTTTTTAAAGAAAATTCAATTTTTTTATCAACTCCAGTACCAGCCTAGCTCTGTCCAATCTATTCCATTTATCATAACTACAAAACAGTAACCAACCACCATATTTCTTCTTCTCAAACTATGAAACAATGTTGTAATTTCTTGTTCAATCTCAAACTATCAAGGCGTACATATGATATGGTATAGAGAAGAAGAAGCATGAATCTTAGTCCATGACTGCTGGTCTTCTTGCACGCATCAATTAACAAAACGTGTGAAACAGATGGATTAGCTAGATTTGCGGGCTATGTACTCCAGGATGCTTAGCTTGAATCTGATCCCTATTCTGAGGATTTTTCAGCTTCATCTTCCACATGATCTCTTTGGCTCTTCATTAAAGACCATAAATGTATTCTACAAAAACCTTAGAATCAACATAAACTTGCATCTAAAATATGCATTAGCAATCCTAAGACAGGCTTATTTCACTCTAGGTTGATGATTCCCAATTTATCAATGGAAAGACCAGTGAACACACAAAACAAACAGTCCACAAGCATGTTCTACCTCCGATATAAAAATATATAAATTACTATGGAACTTATAAACACCGCTGAGAAATTGTACCTTGAGCATGACAATCGATGAAAGCCAAAAACTCAAGCAATCAGCTTATGTATTTGCCGCTGCTACCTCTGTTTTCTTCAAAAATTGTTGTTGACTTCGCAGCTCCTTATTTCGAAAGGTGAAAATTCCACATGTGTTGAGCTGAAAACAACATAACCTCATTAACACTATTGATAAGAATTTCTGCAATAGGTGTACCAGAACACATTTTATTTGGCTAGTAATGCACAGAATATCCCATAATACATTTTATTTGGCTAGTA